CAGAAAGCACGGCCCTAAACTATCCCCATCTGATAGTTGTATTCCACCGTACTGATAGGCAGAGTGTGTGACGGGTCGTAAATAAAATGGCGGATGGTGGTCTTAGAGATATCAACTTGTAGGCCCCACACCATGGTGGTCAGGAGAGAAGGTTAAGCCAAAGCCTTGGCTCGTGGTGGCAAGGTACCAATGACAGTGACAGCATACGAGGCATATAACTCACGCACCATCCCCTCACTATATCTCCTCGAAGTCTCAACCATCCAGTCGTATTTGTGCTGATGGAATAGAACATGGATGGAGGGCATCGTGTGGAGGCTCCCTGTCAAAAGCCGGCGCTCCTCAGTAATCAGACAGGCTACGTTTTTGTGCTCATTCAGGGCCTTCCCGTCAATGTAAATCTGATACTGCCCCTCAACACACCACCTTTTCAACTCTGTGGCACTGTGAACCAGCTCAACTCTGGGGTCCTGAGCATTCCCCGTGCTAGTGGCATCGGAGGAAGAAACAGAAGTACTGTTGGAACTGGAGCCAGAATGTAACTCTCCTACAGGTGAATCCCCCTCCTCGGACTGGGGGCGGTGACCTCGACCCCGTCACTCGATGATATAACTTGCTTGGCCCTATTCCTCATAGTTGGGGGGCAGTAGGGGAGCCTCTGGTGGTATCCGGGACATACTCGTCCCCACTGGACTCATCGAGCAGACGTTGGTACGGGGTGACAGACTTAGACTTGCCCTTACTTGCGTACTCAGGTGTTTGTTTTGGTGCCATGGTACCTTTGGAAGCTTAGTTAGTATTTACATAAGGCAAAAAGACCAAAGCAAAAATTTTAGAACACCATTTGGACTTGGACAAAAATATTAAAAAGTTTTGGGCAGTAGCTGTTTTTGTGACCTACAGTGGGTACCTACGAACCGTCGATCAAACGACGGACCATGGATCCCCTTCGTAGGTCAGGAAGTCCATTATTGAGTTTCTGATAGGGAACCACGGATGTGCAGAATGGTCCATCGATCAAACGACGGACCGTAGTCCACACCATGGTTCATGACTTAGCCAATTTTTGTGTGCAGTTGATTTACGGACCACGACCTACGGTCCGTAGGTTGACCTATGATCTGTGGGTTGAGGTTGTCGATCAGTGTTGTGCAGGCTTTGTGATTCCACTTTCCAATTAACATAGTCAATACAATGATCAACACCTATATTATGTCCAAACATGCATTTCAACACATTACATGGTAGTTTATCGTTTCTAGGGTTTCAATTATTCAAATTTCACATTCAATCAAGTAAATATTGAAAAACCCTAAGTCAAGACACCCACTTAGACATCTAACCCACATTGTTAAGTTCAATTACGCAACACAGTCCAAGTATCGACGTCCCAAGGATAGTTTTAGAATTAGTTTACATCAAATTATCATGCAATGTCCTACCCAATGTCAAGTACAACTTTGTTGACTTCAATTTAAACAATGAACACAAATCAAAGTTTTGGTGAAGTCTATTACCTTACAAGTAGAGCAAAGTGGAGGAGTGTGTCTGTTTCAATATCTTCTTAAGACCCCAAGCAAGCTCGACACCGAAATCGGACTAGAATGGTTTTTTCGAATAGAGGAAAGTTGAAAAAAAAAACAATGGAAATGGGGAAATGGGAGTAACAATGGAAAGGGAAGATTTTATGGATGTAATTTTGGGAGTTTGATGGGTCTTTTTTGGGTGTAGGAACGGTTTGAAACGGTTGGGGAAATGAGGGAAATGAGGATTAGTTTAAAAATGAAAGGTTTTTATTTTGGCAGGGGTCCGGGTCGGGTCGACTGTAACCCTAACTAGGACCCACGAAACCCCGTCGACGGTCTATGAGTCAATCGACGGTCCGTCGATGGGTTCCGTGGTTCATTCTTACACTAAGTGAAATTTAGAGACATACCTGGGATATAAGGATGCCAACCACGGTTTGTCGATGGAACGACGGATCATGGATGGGAACCGTAGACCATTACATCAGCTTAGATTCTGCAGATTTTTCCTTTTCTTCCTTGCACATGTAGAAAACATTAGGACTTCTTTTTTACATTTTCTGGACACTTTTTAGACACGGACCCTATTCTATCTTTATCTAGCCAGCACTAAAACTAAAAATTAATAAACATCTATCTAAAAAAAACTACAAATTTAAGAAAAACTCCCTATATAAAACAGAAAATTCCTATAGTTGGGCTAGACTATACATCTTAGGTTGCCTCCCAAGTAGCACTTGATTTAACATTGCGACACGACGCAAACACCTTGATTACTCAGACTTCATCAACAGCCCACTCCTCTATCACCTCATTGACAGTCTTCGATTACCCCAAGTAGATCTTTATCCTTTGACCGTTCACCTTGAACTTCATTCCTTCCTTGTTCTCTAGTTCAACCGCTCCATGTGGAAATACTTGGGTTATTGTGAATGGTTCGGTCCACTTAGACTTGAGTTTGCCAGGAAATAAGTGCAACCTTGAATTAAATAATAGCACCTGATCACCGAAAGCAAATTCCCGCTTTTAGATCTTCTGATCATTTCTTCATCTTCTCTTTGTATAAGGCTGAACTTTCATATGATTTTAGGCGAAACTCATCAAGCTCATTCATCTCATTCATTCTTTGACTTGATGTGGCGCCCCAATCCAAATTCAACTTCTGTAGTGCCCACATCGCTTTATGCTCTAGCTCTACATGAAAATGACAAGACTTCCCATTTACAAGTTGGTAGGGGACATACCTATGAGAGTTTTGAATGCAGTGCGATAAGCCCATAGAGCATCATCAAGCCTCCTTGACCAATCAGTTTTGTTATCATTTACGATCTTTGCAAGAATTTGCTTTATCTTGTGATTTGACACTTCAACTTGCCCACTTGACTATGACAAACACCATACTTCTCAAGCAACGTCTTGAACAACTTATTACAAAAGTGAGAACCTCCATCGCTTATGATTGCCCTTGGTGTACCAAATCTGGAGAAGATATTCTTTTTTCAGGAATGCGGTGACACTTTTTCCCTCATTGTTTGAAAGTGCGAGTGCTTCCACCCATTTAGATACATAGTCAACCGCCACAAGAATGTACTTCATCCCATTCGAAGTCACAAACGGACCCATGAAGTCAACGCCCCAAACATCAAAAAGCTCAATCACCAGTATTGGGTTCATTGGTAATTCTTGCTTTTTCGAAACTCCTCCTTCATTTTGGCAACGATCACAAGACTTAGCAAAATCATGAGCATCTTGGTGGATGGTTGGCCAGTAATACCCACACTGCAAAATTTTATGGGCAGTTCGGATACCACTATGGTGCCCACCAACAGGCGATGAATGACACGCCTCTAGTGTACTCATCATCTCAACCTCGAGCACAGAGCGATGAATAATCCCATTAGCACAAACACGAAACAAGTAAGTCTCATCCCAAAATAATTTCTTCACATCAGACATGAACTTTTTCCTTTGGTGGAATGATAAATCCGACGGAACCAAATCACTTGCCAAGTAGTTAGCAAAGTCTGCGAACCAAGGGATAAGATCATAAGAAGCAACCAATACATGTTCATCAGGGAACACATCATTAATCATAATTCCATCTTCTAGCTTGATCATAGCTTCCTCCTCTAGTCTAGACAAGTGATCAGCAACCTGGTTTTTTGTTCCCTTTCTATCCTTTACCTCAAAATTGAACTCTTGCAGTAGAGCACCCATCTAATCAATCTTGGTTTTGCATCCTTCTTAGCCATCAGATATCTCAATGCAGAATGGTCAATATGCATTATGGCCTTAGTACCAAGCAAGTAGGATCTAAATTTCTCGAATGCGAAAACCACAGCAAGGAGTTTTGTTCAGTCACAATATAGTTTTTCTAGCCACATTCAGAGCTTTGTTGGCATAGTAAATTGGATGAAGAATTTTATCTCGCCTTTGTCCTAATACTACACCAAACGCCACCCCACTTACATCACATATCACTTCAAACGGTTGCCCCCAATCCGGTGAAATAATGATAGGTGCCGAAGTTAACTTTTCTTTTAACTCTCTAAATGCTCTCAGACAAGTATCATCAAAATCAAACTTACACTCCTTTCAAGTAGCTTGCATAATGGTTGTGCAATTTTAGAGAAATCTTTTATGAACCTCCGATAGAAACCTACATGCCCAAGAAAACTTCGAACGCCTTTTACAGAGATAGGTGGTGGAAGCTTTTCTATTACCTCAACTTTAGCTTTATCAACCTCAATACCTTTCTGCAAAATCCGATGACCCAGAACTATACCCTATTTCCCACGAAGTGACACTTTTCCTAATTGAGCACGAGATTGCACTCTTCGCACCGTTTTAGTACATAAGCCAAATGTGTCAAACAGTCATCAAACGAGTCACCTGCCACATAGAAATCATCCATAAATACCTCTATCGTTTCCTCCACCATATCTGAAAATATCGACATCATAACCTAAATGGCATCCTTTAGAAGGCGAAAGTCCCATAAGGGCAAGTGAATTTGGTTTTCTCTTGGTCTTTCGGAGCTATGGAGATTTGATTCTAGCCCGAATACCCATCTAGAAAACAATACCAACCCTTACTAGCGAGACGATTAAGCATCTGATTCATGAACGACATTGGGAAATGGTCTTTCTCAGTCCATGCATTTAACTTGTGGTAGTCCATACACACTCTCCAACCAGTCACCAACCTCATTGGAACAAGCTCATTTTTAGCATTGGGAACCACAGTGATTCCTCTTTTCTTTGGCTCACACTGAACTGGGCATACCCAACTACTATCAGCAATACGATATATAACTCCAGCATCTAACCACATAATGATCTCCTTTTTCACAACCTCTTGCATAGGGGGATTCAGTCTCTTTTGATCCTTAATACTTGGCTTGTTGTCCGGCATGAGTTGAATTTTGTGAGAACAAATGCCCGGAGGAATCTCAATAATGTCCGCAATAGTCCATTATATATCCCTCTTAAACCGCTTCAGCACCGATACCAAGGCCTTTATTTGCCTTTCACTCAACTCAGCAGCAATGATTACGGGCAAAGTGCTATTTTGTCCCAAGAATACGTACCACAAGTGGGATGGAAGAACCTTAAGTTCCAATTTTAGAGGCTCATCAACAGATGGTTTTACAGGTGGGGTGTCTCGATTCTTCATGTCTAATTCCAACCGTTTTGGCTTGAAAAGAAACTCGAACCTATCAAGTGCAACAACTAGCTCATCATAGTCATCAATACCATCACTATCAAGATTTATCGTCACCACTGCTAGTGCATCAACACCTAACCTCTCTTTAATGGACACTTCAGATTCTTGCTCCACAATATGATTCACCATTGATACCAACTTAAGATCACTTTCATGTTTCATAGACCTACAGATGTTAAAAGTTAACTCATCATTGTTTAATCGAAACTTCATCTGCCCTCTTTCCATATCTTCCAACGCACGTCTAGTAGTAAGAAATGGTCTACCTAAGATGATGGGAACCTCAAAATCAACCTCACAATCTAATATCACAAAGTCCGTCGAAAAGATGAATGATTCCACTTTCACAAGGACATCTTAGAGCACTCAAATGGGCCTCTTTACAGTTTTGTCAGCCATAAGTAAACGCATTACAGTCGGCTTTGGAGCTCCTAAACCCAACTTCTTATAAATCGACAATGGCATCAAATTAATGTTGGCACCCAAGTCACACAAAGTTTTCTTAAAGTGTAATATCCCAATGGTACAAGGAATAGTGAAAGCTCCACGATCCTCTTTTTTCTGCACAAGTGACCTAGTAGCAATATCACTACAATGTTGCAACTTCTCTTCATTCTCAAAACTGACATCCCTTTTTTTGGTCACCAAGTCTTTCATGAATTTCGCATACCCAGGCATCTGCTCCAAAGCTTCTATCGAAGGAACATTTATGGATAGTTGATTCAACATAGCAATGAACCTATGATATTTTCCCTCTTCAGTCTTTTTCACCAACCTTTAGGGGAAGGGAGGTGGAGGTTTAGGCATGGGAACAACTTTTTGGGTCACCTCAGCTTCCTTTTCTGCATCATCTTTCGGATCTTCAGAAACCTTAATCTCATCCGCACCTTTTTCTATCATTCTTTCGACCTCAGACGACATAGGGGGATCTATAGTTTGCTTTCCTCCGCGTGTACTGACTATCATACAATGTCCATCATTTTTTGGATTTTGGATGGTATTGCTAGGAAGTATGCCTGGTTGGCGTGGGTTCACAGTAGTAGAGAACTGACTAAACTGCTGCTCAAGTTGTTTGATTGACACTGCATGGGCATCAACTTTCTGACCAATTCCAGATAAATCATTACGCATCTCTTTCACATTTTCATCTATTGAATCAAATCTATTCATCATTTTCTGCATCATATCCTCAATGCGATTCATACTTCTACCAACCTCTCTATTATCAGATGGAACATAAGGCCCAACCTTATCATTCTTGTTGTCGTAGTTGTTCCGGTTATAATTTTTATCACGATTGTAGTTCCCATCCCGTACATAGTTTCCCTCGCGGTTGTAGTCGCCATAGTTTCGACCTTGGTTTCCTTGACCTTGGAGCCAACTATCTGAGTTGGAACCCTGGGCGTTGGTTCGGAAACCCCCTGTCTGATCATTCTTCAAATTCGCATCCTCCTCATAGTAATACTCTTCAACTGGCGGTGGTGGAGTTCTAGTTAGATAATTTATTGCATTCACTTTTTTTGCACTTCCACTCATATGCTTTAATACCAAGCCAATTTCTATCCTCATTTGAGCCATCTCTTCACGAATATCATCATTTGATTGACTTGGTGCAGTTTGGACAACAAACGTTCTTCTACCAGTATTTGCCTTCCTAGTGCTCCATTCTTTATTGTTCTGGGAGATCCTCTCAAGTTTTTCAGCAATCTCCTCAAAAGTGCACTCACCATAAGATCTTTCATCAATAGTATCTAACACAGCATTTCCATTGTCATTATGTCCTCTGTAGAACTACTCCTTTAGTGACTCATCATTTATGCGGTGATTCGAAACACTCATCATGAATCCAGTGAACCTATCACATGAACTGCTTACCGAATCTCCAGGTAGTGCCGTGAAATTATTCAGTTTATCTTTGTAATTCAACTTCTTGGACACCGGAAAGTACTTCGCCATGAACACCTTGTGTAGTTGGTTCCATGTATATATTGAATTGTATGGCAGCTCAGAAAACTACACAACATCATCACCAGTCAACGAAAGTGGGAATACTCTCAAACCTGTAATGTTCATATCCAAGTTCGGTCATCCCACAATACTCTTACAGACACTTGTCAATTTAGCCATGTGAGCGTATGGATCTTTCGACGCGAATCCAGCGAACAACCCTCTTGCTGTAAGCATTTCCATAAGACTGCTGGTCACCAAAAATGTATGTCCCGCAGGTAGTGGAGGGAGAACAACAGGCCCAATTGATCCAACCTCGTCATAGTCAACCTTGTAGTTATCACGAACCCTCGGTGTTGGCGAATTCTGCACCCTTTCTGCATTTTCGATTAGATGACCACCTTGAACCTGAGCGGGCACATTAACAACTCCAGGAGGTTGAAACCCAACTCCCTCTTCTTGACCCTCTTTGATAGGATCATTTTGTACCCCCAAGATTTATGCCTCTTTCAACCATTCATCTCAAAGTTCTCCTTAATTTCGGATCGTACGATGTCAGGGATTTCCTTGACTCCGTGTACTTGGCATACACTAGAGTTGAGATCTGTAGAAAACAAAAATAAAACAAAAAATGTAAAATCAGGAAATACTTCACTAAAGTTCAATAATATAGTTAATTTAATCTAAAAGTTGTATTCCCCGGCAACGACGCCAAAATTTGATACGCCCAAATTACATTTTCCAAAAGAAGTTTAAGCGGTCGTTGCCAAATAAAGAACCCAACTTGTAGATTGGGGTCGATCCCACAAGGAATATGGTTTAGACTCAAACTTAACTCACAATTATCTCTTTTTAGTCAAACTATTTCCAAGGAAAGTAAACAAAGGGGGGTTTTGTAAATAAAAATAATAATTTATTGATTTAAATTAATAAGTAACAAGTAAACAAGATTCAGAGTTGAGATATCAATATAAGATGAAAACTAGGGTATATGTGTTCCCCACAAGCTCTTAACGCAGTATTCCTAATAATAGTAATTTCATCCTAGTGTTTGACATGCAAGGCTGATATGTTAGGTATCCCTATGTGATTGGTAATCCAAGTAGTAACTTTTACTCGCAACTTGGTAAGTCTATGGGTGTGTGCTTTAGTAACCCTTACCTTTACCTCGGATTAGTCCTCATGTCAATTGAGTTGGATATTCACCCTCACGTCAACTAGTTAAAGTCAGACTATTAGATAGCAGCAAATCCTTAACTAAATCTCTGTTGTTTAATTCTTTTCTCATTCATTACCCCCTAAGTAAGGCAAGTAGGAACAAGGCAAGTTCTAACGCTGCACACCGCTAGAACAACTTTTAAATGAAAAGATTAACAATACATGCATAAACACTATTCAAGAATTACTTATTTATTAGTCATACGTTGTTAATTGCTTATAGTTCCCACAACCCTAGTTGTGGATTTAGCTACTCATGCTTGAGAATTCACATTCATGTTAGGGTTACTAAAAGAAATCATGAACTTACAATTAGAATAGATGAAAATCGAAATCCTGAATTGAAATTCAAAGTGCAAATTGCATAAACTAGCTTCCGAAATTAAAGTGCCAAAGTGTTTGCAAAATAATTCCAAAAACCTAAATATAAAAGTCTCCAATATTTTCTAACTCCCAAAAACCGAAATAACAACTAGTATTTATAGAAACTAAATCATAAACAAAGCAGGAAAACGAAATAAGGAAAACTGGGTTAGACGCGGTTTTGATCGACGACACGACCTATAGATCGTGGATCAGCCTACGATCTGTGGTTCACCTCCGTGGTTCAGCACTTAAAAATTATTTCAGGACCTTCAAACGAAGGTCCCACCTACGGTCTATGGATATGACTACGGTCCGTCCTGTCCCTCCGTGGTTCAAGTACTGGAAATCAACTCTTTGATTAGAAACGACTATCGTGTAGGACAGTCTGTCATTCACTCTACGGGGCGTCATTTGCCTCTATGGTTCCACACTTGGTCAGACTTTCTTGAACTCACATCCACGCCTTAGCACCTACGACCCGTCAATGGACCTACGGTCCGTGGTTTAGCTTTGTTGACTGCTACTACTGCCACTTCAGTTCTTTTCTCTCTCAACCCCTTTCGAACAAAATTCCTGCAAATATTACATAAAACCCATTATATCTAATTACAAAACAGCCCAAGACTCACACAAACTCTAAGTGAAATGCATCAAAAATACCGTAAACTCACGGTATATCAGTCACCCAATGTTTTCCGCAGTGTTTTTAGTAACGAGTTGTTAGACTTTCGAAGTTTATAGGGACTCCACTTTATTTCCGCATTTAAATCTACTTTTGTATCTTTAAATGTTTAGTTCTTGGGTTAACTGAGTTGTATTAATGGTTCTCCCACCGGAGGGAAGTGTGGGTGCCAATCACGACGGTCTAGGTCGTGACATTTTCGCTTGGAAATTATACAACCACCGAACCTTCTGTATCATGATTCGATCTATGCCTACATTTTTATTTATTAGAATTTGTTTTAGTATTACTTACATGCCTGCATTTTTAGGATTGTATTGGAGCACTTGATGGCACACATATTAAAACAAGATTGCCACAAGGTCAACAAATACCTTATATTGGACGCAACGGTTAATCCGACTCAAAATATTTTCATCGTTGTGAATTTAATATGTGTTTTACATTTGCATGGGTTGGGTGGAAAGGAGCAACTCATGATAGTCATATATTTGGTGAGAGCCTTCGTAGGAGTGAACTCAACTTTCCACATCCTTTAGAAAACACATATTATTTAGTGGATGCAGGATTTGCACACATGAAGGGATATATGGCTTCATACAAAGGAGATAATGTGAGATTTCATCTTCCTGACTTTTGTCGTGGTGCAACAAGACAATTGCACGAGTCGAGAGGACACATTGAAAAAATTAACTATATGCATTCTTCATGTAGAAATATAGAAGAGCGCACATTTGGTGTTTGAAAATTAAGGTGGTCTGTATTGCGAGATATGTTTTACTATAACATTGACATCAAAGGAACATTACACTTGCTACTATGGCCATTCACATTTATATTTATAAAAAAGCAATATGGATGATACATTTCAAAAGGCTAAAGATGAGATATATATTTCATCGATGGACTCCGAATTTGGCACAAGTTCAAACACTAATAATATAGAAAAAAATATGAAAGAACAAAGTGATACGCATTGGATGAGTCTTCGTGATATGATTGTTAATGAAATTTGTAATGCTTGATGTATGTACTACTTGAGTATTTCCACTTTTGTATTAGTAAAATGTTCTCTATCATTTTGATATATATTGTCCTTATTTCTCTTATAAATAATTTGTGATGGTAAAGAGATATGTGAAGGATAGGCAAATATTATTACTTATGGATGTAACTAAAAATAAATCTTAAATCTTTCATGTGATCTATTTAAACTATATATTTTTAAAATTTAAAATAAATTGTGCATATAAAATTAACCTAAATAATATGTTATTGTAATTGAATTGAAATATAAATTATTTTTGTTTTAATTTTTTTTTAAAAAATAATAACTTTAAATTAATCAACTTTTTATAATGTATTTCAGATATTTTAATTTTTAAAAAGTTTAACGACACTTATTTGTTAAACACATTAACAATTTTTTTTCAATTGCAACACATTTATCTAAATACTTAAGTAAAAAATTTTAAAATAAATATTTTTTTTAAAGTCAATTCAAAGGAGACTTTCTACGTTCCTACCTTCTTTTGATCATTTTTGTCATTACGCCGTTGATGGTTAATTTAGACACGACTGCATGATGGATATGGCACACACACCCATGGCAATTTCTTAACATATACCCATCATTTCCATTATACAGCCATTACATACCTGATACATTTGATTTGAGATCGAGTAGAATCAATAACATGGAGAAATCATCACCGGAAAAGCTTATACTGGTTACTCACGAACCCGGCGGGGTTGCGTGTATCACAATCAACCGACCAAACTCCCTGAATTCTCTCACTAAGTCAATGATGACCGATCTTGCTCGAATTTTCAAGTCTCTGGACGCAGATGATTCGGTTCGGGTCATTATACTCACCGGATCGGGTCGATCGTTCTGCTCCGGTATTGACCTGACGGCGGCGGAGGACGTGTTTAAGGGTGACTTCAGGGATATGGAGATTGATCCGGTGTTCCAAATGGAGCGATGTAGGAAGCCAATTATTGGGGCTGTTGCTGGATTTGCTGTTACTGGTGGTTTTGAGATTTCTCTCGCTTGTGATATCTTGGTTGCCTCCAAAGATGCTAAATTTTTGGATACTCATGCTAGGTTTGTCTTTATTTCATCCGAATTCATCTTTTGCTCTCGCGATATCTACAGTAATTATGTATTTGGGTATTTCTATTTATGCTTCCACTTTATTGATGAAGAAAACATATGATCAAATTTTCGAGGTTCTTGGATAGTGGTACTGTTGAAACTGGATGGTGTTGATTCTTAGGATTTGAGCTTTCTAAAGATGTGTGGTTATGTGTATGTTGTGATGTTAGCGTTGATTGAAGAAATAATATAACAATTCTTTTAAGATTTATTTGGATAATCGTACGGTTGAAGCTGGTTGGTTTTAGATTTTTTAAGATTTATTTGGATAATGGTACGGTTGAAGCTAGATGGTTTTGATTTTTAAGATTTGAGCTCTATTACCCAGTCATGGTATATTTGAGGTATTGATATTGATTTTAGCTTGACTCTTAGCTAGTAAACTTTTCAAGGCGAGTAGGCTCAATGAATATCTCCCTACTGTGCATCTCAATTCTTATGTGTCAATAAAACTAGTCCAGCTCTCCTATCCAAAAAAAAAAAGATGCAACATCCTCGTAGAGATATAGAGACTGTTTCTGGTAGCGCCACAGCTTAAAACAAAGCGTATCCAAGCAGTTTGAAAAAAGGAATACAGAAATGAAAACAATAAGGAAATCATGTGAAATAAAGAGCAGTACATGACATAGGGAGGAATGAAGAACCTACAAGAATAGTGCTATTACCACTGTTAAGAAAGGAGGTCCAAGTGCGACCACCAAGCCTATCATGCAAGAAAGCGACAGAATGCTCAACTACGAACTAACATGTCTAATTACCTCCCCATCTGTATCTACCGCTCCTGATGCCTGCCTATGCCAACCTCTAACACCTCCTCACTGGGGCATCCATATTTCCCATCTTAACATGCCAAAACTATCTCAACCCTGCTTCCCTCATCTTGTTCACCACGGAGACGACTCCTACCTTGTCCGAGAATCTTCTTTCCTAATCTTCATCACTCCTAGTAAGCCCACACATCACCTCAACATCCTCATCTCGCAACTTTCATCTTCTAAACATGTGAGTTCTTTGAGCTCAGTTTGAAATGGAGTTTTTGTGCTTTTCATTAATAGCTTTATTTGGTAAGAGCACAGGTTACTCCAGATAGGTGTTTGTCTTCCTGCAAAATTTCACTGACTGTTGTATCTTAAGTAGTACTCTGTTTTGATATTTAACCTTATTGAACTTGATTTGTAAGGTATGGATGGGGCCTCAGCTTCAGATTTGATTTTATTTTCCTTGTAAAATTGTATTAAATTTTAAGCTTATTGGTTGCAAGATCTAAAATGAAATCTGTGGATTTGACCAATCATTAGTCATGCCATGAAAGCAGCTATAAAAATTAGACAAAGTCCTTCTCTGTAGAACTTACTAAGCTGAAAATTCTATTGAGTCCAGAGAGTTCCCTTCATCCTTTATGGTATCAAGTTGATTAGGGCCATCAACTCCTTAAAAACCTGATTTACCTGTAGTTATAATCCATCACGGTATTCCTGTCCTACTTGAGTCTTGAGCTAACTCAATCGAACTTAGAACACAAAACAGAAATACAAGTTATGTGGTATTAATGTCAAACACCCTGTGTTTCCAGATGATTTCTGATGAGAGTGTCTTCGCTTTTGTGTTGCAGGTTTGGGATATTTCCTTCTTGGGGTCTATCACAGAAACTATCTCGCATTATTGGACCCAACCGAGCTCGTGAAGTGTCCTTAACTGCAACACCTATCAACGCAGAACAAGCTGAGAGATGGGGCTTGGTAAATTATGTTGTTGACAGAAATGAACTTTTGAACAAAGCTAGGCAAATTGCAGAAGCCATCATCAAGAACAACCAAGACTTGGTTTTGAGGTACAAGGCAGTTATCAATGATGGGTTCAAACATGACTTGACCCGAGCCCTTGCTCTTGAGAAGGTAATGACATCTGTTCTTGTTATGCTTTACCAGCTAATTGTGCATCTTGTTCAACTTTTTTGCTTATGATCTATTTCTAGTATCTATAATCTAACGACTATATTGAAAGAGATCCCATTCATGCATTGCTTGTGTTTTAGATGCAAATAGCAATTAGAAAGAAAGGCTAATACTTTCTATGAAAGCCCTTATCACTCTCTTCCTAGTACCAATAGCCCCAGCCAGCCTCCAATCCTCTCACCAAAAGAAAAAAAAGACCTTACGAAAGACCAGTTATGAACCTGAAGAATCAAGATAGCGGAGATTGAGATAGGAGCAAAACAATTCAGGTACCTTGCACCCTTTAAAAGATGCATGAAAAAGAAGAGATTGAGATCGGAAAATGGAGAAATTAATTGAGGTGCTTCGACCTTTCAAAAGCTAATCCTAAATCATGCATTAAGATTCTGATCATAGTCTAACATCAAGATTGACAAAATAATAGTACATCCGTTCCAGTTATGTAACACTTTCTTTTTTATTATGCCCAAAAGAATCTTTATATATTGGAAAAATAAATAACTTATAAATTTCTTTCTCATTTTCTTCTCAGTGACCTGATTTATAGCCACAAAAAGGTCATGGGGTGTTTAAGATCCAAGTTCCTAAAGTCTTTTTTCTACAACTCTGTGCAGTCTTAAGTTCCATAAAAATTAAATGGAGAGAGTACAAGTCTCTGGCATGGCCATTCCCTTGCCCGTATTCTTAAATGCAGTAACTTGCCTAATGTTGAATATCCGAGTAATCTCCAACTTAAGTGATCCACTTAAATCTTTTAATAGTTCTTCTTTTAGATGCGTTGAGGTTCTTTATGAAGTCATTTGTTCTTCATTGTTAACCTGTCCAGCTACTGCCTGTGGTGTCAAATATTTAGAAACTAATGAATGAACTAGTTCAAATCGTGCAACCACCTTGTTGTCGCATTACATGCAATTTGAAGTTCTGGCAGAACATGGGTTATTTGCAATGTATGTGGTCTATTCCACTCATGTGGGTGCGTTATTGTCATTTCCAGGAGAGGGCTCACGAGTATTACGATGGAATGGGCAAGGATTACTTTAAGAAAATGCAAGAGTTCATTGCAGGACGGAATACAAGCAAACCTTCATCAAAATTATAGATTTATCATGTGTAATTTTTTTTCTGCTTTTGAAATAAACTAGTCTAACACAGGTTTTATCAAAAAGTGAAATGTTGCTCCGATTAGTCTGATTTTACACTGCAATGGTTTAATAGAACACACAGTTAAAAATGTTATTGTAACTTCAGTTGAGTGGTGATGATGTTAGCAAGTGACAATCATAGTCTACTATGTTACATTCCTGTCTTCATTTTTTACTTTACATGCTATAATATCTTTGGCTTTCTCCTTCAAACGCTTTCTCCTCATCCTGGGTTTGGGAAATTAATACTCTCAACAAGATCAAATTCTTCCTTTCGCTTTGCTCTTACGATAAGCTACCCACAAAGAATTGTCTTCATCATATTGACATTTCTCCTAATCCTCATTGCCCTATCTGTAAGACTGATAATGAATACATAGAACAATTTTCCTACGTTGCTGCATTGCCAAAAAATGTTGGCTTAATATTGGCCTAAATTTCTCTACCCTCCCAATAACTACTAACAATAACTGGATCTATACCCTTTAAAATCGTAACATCCCTCGGCACAGCAACCATTATTCCTGGGAGGTTTTCTTTGCTTTTGCGCTCTGCCATAATTGGCTAAATCGTAACAACAACATCTTTAGAAACAAATCTGATCTTGTTCTCATCCAGGTAATCAGAAACCGCACTCTTGAGTTTAAATTATGTACTGATAACCAGGATAGTTATAGCAATAGAACCATTCTTATCAAATGGCTCCACCCACCTTCTGGCATATTTTAACTTAATGTCGATGGAGCTTTTTACCAGGTGGGTAAGACTGTTGGTATAGGTGGAGTTATCCGGAATCATACGGGCAATTGGGTTTCAAGTTTCTCAAATAAGAGTACGGCTCATAATCATACAATAACCGAAATCGAAGCCTTCCACACTGGCCTAATTTTAGCAAACTCTCTTAAAGTTGGCCCCCTTGAGATCGAAACAGACTCATCTGACATCTTAGACCATGTCAAACCACCTTATGATTCTATTATCTCAGAATGTAGGTCACCGTTAAAGAAGTTGCAGTGTTGCAGAATCCAGTGTTGGTGTTTGTAATAAAAAAATAATTAGGAGGCTAGTTGGGCTTGAACTCCGACGAACCTTATGAGGTCGAAACGAGACTCATCTGACATCTTAGACCATGTCAAACCACCTTATGATTCTATTATCTCAGAATGTAGGTCACCGTTAAAGAAGTTGCAGTGTTGCAGAATCCAGTGTTGGTGTTTGTAATAAAAAAATAATTAGGAGGCTAGTTGGGCTTGAACTCGCAACCTTATGATCGAAACAGACTCATCTGACATCTTAGACCATGTCAAACCACCTTATGATTCTATTATCTCAGAATGTAGGTCACCGTTAAAGAAGTTGCAGTGTTGCAGAATCCAGTGTTGGTGTTTGTAATAAAAAAATAATTAGGAGGCTAGTTGGGCTTGAACTCGCAACCTCATGGAATTTTCGTAACCCCTTAACCACTAGACTAAATATTCAACTTGTTCTAAGAGGTGTCAATACTTGTATATATATTTATTGAATCAAAATTTTGGTAGAGTGTGTTTATCAGTAGGGATGTTGTATTCAAAGAGGGGGTATTTCCTTTTAAAGGACTTGAAATCTCACAATGAGGGTCCCTATCCCTTGTTTTTACCCTTCACAGATCATATAGATGATGCTTCCACTCAAGATCCATGTCTGAATGATGACTTGCAAATATCAGACCTGTGTCCTTCTGTTGACTCTCCTGCACATGTCATACAGGAGATGCCTTTAGTGAATGTTGGTCCAAGGAAGACACACAAATCCTGCAAACCACTTGTGTGGCTCAAAGACTTTGTTGTGCCCAAGAAATCTAATCCCCATTCCAATACTAACCATGTTTGTTATGACAATATATCCCCAGGATATAAGTCCTACTTACATGCTTTTTCAGCAACTATAGAACCTCAATCTTTTCAGGAAGCATCTCAAGACAAGTTGTGGATGGATGCCATGCAGCAAGAAATCCTAGCCTTAGAAGACAATGATATACTTGGGCCATTGTTGACATACCACCAGGTGAGAAGGCAATTGGTTCAAAATGGGTATACAAGATCAAATACAAGTCCAATGGTGAGGTGGAAAGGTACAAGGTTAGACTAGTTGCAAAAGGATACACTCAGAAGGAAGACCTTAATTATCATGACACTTTCTCTCCAGTTGCAAAAATGGTTACCATCAGAACCATTCCTCAGTCTAGCAGCTTCACATGGCTAGGACCTTTCCCAAATGGATGTCAACAATGCCTTCTTACAAGGTGATTTAGTTGAAGACATCTACATGCGAAGGGAGAGAATAAAGTATGTAAGCTGAGGAAGTCACTCTATGGTCTCAAGCAGGCATCAAGATAATGGAACATCAAGCTTACTGAAGCACTACTATCAGCAGGTTACTCTCAAAGTGTCCATGACCACTCCTTGTTCATTATAAAGGAATGAGATGACATAGTTGTGATTTTAGTGTATACTTTTAGGTACACTGATGATCTCTTGATCACTGGAAATAACTCTTAAATGATTCAAGAGGCAAAAGTTACACTGCATAAGAACTTTAAGATGAAAGACTTGGGAAATCTTGAATACTTCTTGGGGATGGAGGTGTTGAAGTCAAAGGAAGGGATATTACTGAATCAAAGGAAATATTCCTTGCAACTCATTTCAGAAGCTTGATTAAGTGGAGCAAAGGTTGCAAGTACTCCTTTAGAATTCAATCAAAAGCTAACAAGTGTGGAGTATGATCAACACATTGGTAATATTGTTGATTCATAGTTAGAAGATATCACAACATGCCAAAGGCTGATTGGGAAGCTACTGTATTTGACAATTACCAGACCTGATATTTCCTTTAGTGTGCATGTATTAAGTCAATTTATGCAACATCCTAAAACCTCACATTGGGAGGTTTCCGTGAGGATTGTGAGATATGTCAAAAGAATCCCCAGGCCTTGGAAGTTTGCTTAAAAGGGAACCGGTCTCACTAAGCTCACTAGATATTGTGACTCAGACTGGGCCTCATGTCCCAACACACGAAGATCAGTAACAGAATATATAGTAAAGCTTGGTGATTCTTGATCTCCTAGAAGCCCAAAAAACAGCAAACTGTTAATTAGTAGAAGCTCTGCTGAAGCAGAGTATAGAAGCCTAGTAGCTCTTGCAGCTGAATTGGTATGGTTGGCAGGGCTACTTGCTGAACTGAATTTTCTAGTTATTGGTCCAATCAAGGTGTTTACAGATAACAAATCAGCTATACAAATAGCTGAAAATCCAGTCTTTCATGAACGCACAAAGCACATAGACATTGATTGCCACTTCATTCGAGAAAAGGTGAAATCCAACTTCATTAGTCCCAAGTACCTTTGCACCACAATGCAACCTGCTGACATCCTTACTAAAGGACTGGGGGCTAACCAACATCATCATCTTTTGACATGCTTAAGTCGAGTATTAATCTTAATCATTTAGCATTTGCAGATGATACAATTATCTTTGCTTATACTCATAGTTACTCCTTAAGAAAAATTATGACTATTTTACAAGAGTATGAAAAGCAATCAGGTCAGAAACTAAATAAAGATAAGACTTTTATTATTTACATCAAAGTGCTGCTTCAATCATTTCTTCTCAGGTGGAATAATGTACATGAATTGTTAGGGGTTCTCTCCCTATGAAATATTTAGGGCGAAGTCAACTTATTCAAGAGTCCTCTTTAATTCAGGTAACTAATTAAGCGCATCTATCTACCAGCAAAGAAGTCCCCCTTACCTATTCTATTACTCATATTAGAAAAAGAAAAGAACATTACGCTGAGTTGATTGGCAAAGTTAAAGAAAAGCTTCAAGCTTGAATAAGGAAAAATGATATCTTATAATGGTAAATAAGTTCTCTTTATTAGTGTTCTTCAAAGCATGCGTATTTATGTATTGTCTGCTATTACTCTCCCTAGCTATATGTGTTGTTGAGGAATTATACAGGACTTTTGTAAAGTTTTTCTAGAGCAACAAGAAATTGGGTAAGAGTAATTTTATTTTTTTTAAATTAAAGAGTGGGAAAGAGTAAATACTAGTCAAAATGGATAAAAAAAATTGTCTTCCATAGGAGAAAGAGAATATTGATTTTAGATTCATGGTTTATATTTTCACAAGCCTCATGTCCTAAACTATGGTGGAGGTATAGTACACAAAATAACTTGTGGTTCAATTCTTTAAAATAAATATTGTAAGAAATAGATTATATCTCTGGTACTATAAAAATGTTTCTCAAGCCTGAAAACACATGCTACTAAATAAGGATAGTATTGAACAACATTTGTGATGAAAAATCTAAACATGGTACATCTACTATTTGATATGAGAATTGAACCAATCTTGGATCTTTACACTTGCACCCATCTGAATCTTATACTTGTCATCCTATGAAAGATATTATGAATCTCTTTAGTGAGGAGGGCTTCGCTTTTGATGCTCTTAATGATGTTGTGTCAAATTTTATAGTGTAGCACAGTGGTGGAACCAGAATTTTTAATAAGGGGGTTTAAAATCTGAGAAGTAAACACACGAACTAGTGAAAGGGTGTTCGAAATCTATTATACATATCTAAAAAATAATTTTAACCATGTATAAATAGTAATTTTTTCCGTTGAAGGGGGTTCGGATGAACCCCTTAAGTATATGATGCCTCCGCCCCTAATTCCAGGTTGAGACATCTAATCACTTTTTAGCTTACTATATTTAAGAAATTCTAGGTTGAGATATCTAGTCACTTTTTAGCTTTGTATATTTAAGAAATAGTTAATATTATGGAGTTTGAATTTTACGACTAAAAGTTCATGACAATATTCTAAAGTTTCACATGTAACATTTAAAACTCCATGACATGACTATTTTTAATTACATAGAATGAATGTATATATATATATATATATATATATATATAAATTTAATGAGGAAAGGGAATAAATTAATCAGATCATCATTATATTAATTAATCAGTGTATTATATATGTTTAGGAAAAAAAAACTCATAATGCTTGGTCAATGTTATGGATTAAATTATCAGAATCATTATAAAACAAAATAACAAAGCATATAGTGTGACCTGTAATATTGTAGAAGCATTCTAAACAAAATAATAATTTTGACTAACTAGTTTGC